TTGACAAATTGTTGTAATTATCTATTTTCTCCAGCATCATATGAAGAAAAGTGCTAATATTGATCTCAAGGGTCGATGGTATCTCGAAATAAGAACCTACGAGCACTGAAGTGGCTCTATTTCGATATCCAAATAACGCACTTTGTCACTCATCACGAGTTGAAATGCACATCTTACTCGGATATTTAAAGAAAACAACTCAGAAGTCGGAAAGGAGGTATTTGATTGAAAATCAAGCAACTTTAGGGCCAGAATGATGTGAGGCGAGGGACATCAAAACTATTCAATATACATATTCGGATGTAGTTTTTTACGCCGATCATGAATCCGGCCTCCGATTTGGATTTTGGCTTCGAAACGGGGGAGTAAATGTCAAAATACTGTCAAAATTCATGTTTTTTTAACATTTGACTCATATTTATAACCAGGATGCTTCTCCCATAGAAAGAAAAGTATACCATTCGATAGAGCAAAGTTTTCTCTATCCAACCATATATGCCACCATTTCCAGGAATTCCATTTAGTATGCGAAATATTTCAAAATTTGTTTTCAGCTAAAAATTATCTGTCACGTGGAGTTCCATATAGGGAGATATAAAAAAATATTAATTATACATATTCTGATGCATCTTCACTCGGGCTACACGAATCCGTGCTCAAAAATTCAAAATGATAACGAGAAATGGCCAAATTCATCGAAAGGTGAATTTTTTCGAATCAAAATGACGTGTTCAGTATTTTGACTCGTTCTCCCTCATTTCATTATGAAGTGCCAACTATTTTATTATCAAAATGATCAGCGTTCAAATCTCTACAAACCCTGAAAGTTTGAACGGATTCGGAGATACTTTTGTAAATCGTGGTAGGGTCATCATGGAATCACCCTAGTGCTTTTAGGAGTAGGAAACTACGTAAAATATCTTGAAAGGTATTCATTCGATAGAGCTCGTCGAGTTCTATCGATCTATGTTATTTTTAGCTTTTGGTCCCAACTCGCGGGCGAATCCCGTTGCGGTATTCCGGTAAAAACCAGGTTTTCTGCGAAAAGTTGGATTTTAGGATCGGATGAAAGCACAGAAATTACCTGAAACGACATCCACTGGCTAGAGCTTGTCGAGTTCGGTAGAACTATGTTACTTTAGGCCTTTGGTCCCAACTGGAGGCGAATCCCTGCGCGGCATTCGGGGCAAAAACCAGGTTTTGTGCGAGAATTTGGATTTTAGGGGCGGATGAAAGCACAGAAAATACTGGAAAAGGTATCCATTCGGTAGCGCTCGTCGAGTTCTCTCGATCTATGTCATCTTTAGCTTTTGGTCCCAACTGGGAGCGAATCCCGGTGCGGTATTTCGGGAAAAACTAGGTTTTCTGCGAAAATTTGGATTTTAGGGGCGGATGAAAGCAGAGAAATTACCTGAACAGGTATCCATTCGATGGAGCTCGTCGAGTTCTCTCGATCTATGTCATTTTCAGCTTTTGGTCCCAACTGGGAGCGAATCCCGGTGCACTTTACGAAAAGAATCTGATTTTTTGCTTATTTTTTACAGTATTTTAAGTTTTTCTCTCGCTTGGAATGGTTTTGGAGGAAAAGTAAATAGTGCATTCGATAGAGCTCGTTGAGCTCTGTCTTGGTCCACAGAGTTTGATTTTTGGTTCCAACTGTGAGCGAATCCAGTTACGGAATACTCGAATCCAGGCCCAAGATATCCTACGTGTAAATATACCGGTTGTTTCTATACGTTTTTATCAAATTTGTTTTTTCTGACCCTTCAGTTTGGACTAAGTGCATTAGTGGATATCGATTTCTACATTGATTGGATGACTCATGTATATATGTCCACAGACTATTACATTATTAGTCAGAAAAAAGAAATGAAATGAATATACACGACAAGAAAGAAAGAGAGATAAATAAAAAAACAAAGATACTTATTAGAAGAAAACGTTTTCTTCTAATAAGTATCTTTGTTCTTTTGTTTATCTCTTTTTCTTTGTATTATTTATCTATTTATTCTTTCTTTCATTCTTGTGTATTAATTTCATTTTCATTTTCTCAGTGCTGATCTTATGAGTACGTAAGGAAACGTCAAATAAAATCACAAAAACTGGTATAGATCATTCTCTTATTCATATTCAAATGTTTTCACCATATAGAAAACAGAAGAAAATTTATTATTACCATAGGACAAACAGTTGTTCAATTTAATTGACTAGAAATTCATGTCATACCGATATGTATATCATCTAATGAAAAATGATGCTAACTAAAATTTTTCTTTTTTTTTGCACAATTTAGTTAGTCTATTTTGTATAAGACAGATAATAAATAGAGATCTTTGCTTATTTGCGGCACCTTTCGATTTTCAATGTACATTGATTCAGAGAGATGAACCAATGGATTTTTTCTGTCTTCTTTTCAAACATACGATTTATGGTTAAGTGATGTTGTCTTTTATGAGAAATTCCAAGCATTTCATCACTAAATAAGATCATTTGACAAATATGTAGAACATTTTAGAATGATCCCTACCATATTTTTAATTCATTCCATTATTAGTCTCAGTCACACATAGATTTTAAATGAATCCGATTATATAAACGAAGAAAACAATATTGTGATAATTTTCTTAGAGATATATTATCTTTACAAAATCAGATTTAAAAAAGTTCGATAAATTTTTGTCTTATTTTTAGATGAGTACATGTGAATTTTATAATAATTTAATAATATCATCTATCTTTCCTTTTAATACTAACAAACAACCAACTAGATCAAAAACTCAACGTCATCGTTTTCTCGATGGTCTTGCTTTATTACTTAATGATTCAAATCAATGTACATCAGTTTATCCATTGTTGAAAGAAAAAAAAATATTAATAACACGTAATGAATTATTAAAAGATAATGACAAAATCTATTTTGATAAATTTTTTGAATTAATAAGAGAATATTCACAATATTGTTTAATATCAAATGAACATGAAATGAACAAAATGTATTCATTATTAAAATCTATTATGTTTGAATATAACAAGAATGAATCTATTAAACGTATAACTGATAATTTGTTTAATGATGCTGTTTCAAATCTTGAAAAATTATTAAATGCTAATGTTGATGATTTATGTCAAAAAATTACTTACAATAAATTGAAAAAAGGTTCACCCGATTATTATTATTTAAAAGAGAAAAGCACATCTTTAAAAGAATATATTTTAATATTATTTAATTGGATCAACTATATTACTTCAAATCGACATGTAATTCAAAACAATAAAAATGATGTTGAACTAGAAATTATTTCGGAATTTCAAGTAACTGCTGAATTATTATATAATTCTGAAATATTTCGTTCTATACTATCAAAAGTATATTCAATTGGTAATGATACTGAACATATTCTATATTATTTAGATAAAGTATCGGCACATCGGCGATCATTGAATCTAATATTAAAATGTTTAGAAAGACGAAAAACTGAATATGGTGAAATATATAAAAATATTCAATGGTCTTTTATTGAACCTATTAAAACAATTATTGAATTAAAGGAAAGACCATCATCTTCATTTGATAAAATTTGGTTCGCATGTGGTTTAACAAATGATGAAACAAAAAAAGAATTTCAAGATAAATTTATTCAAGATAAATTTAATTCATATGATTCAAATTTAAAATTATCAACATATTTACATAGTGAAATTCGAATGATAGATTATTTAATTGAACAAAATATAAAAGAAGTTCATGATAAAGATGTAGAAATTGGAATATCGAAATCACCATGTTATTTATGTTTATTATATATTGAAGAATTAAATTATGATTTCAATAGAACGTTTTATGTTGGTTCTTTTAGAACTGATAGGAAAATTTATCCAAATTGGATGTTTAGAAAGAATGAAAAAGATAAAATAATAGATTATATTAATAATCAATTATGTGGATTTATTAAAAATGAAGTACAACAATTGGAATTAAGAATAAGAAATAAAATTGGGGATAGTAATATGCAAGAAACAGAAATAGATGAAGACGATCTTGATAATCGTTTCTTCCATTTAAACATGAACGACAAGAAAAATCGATAAATTTCAACGATTCCAATGGAAAAAACAATAACTTTGGTTTTTTTTGTTCTTGTTTGTTTTTCTTTTTTCTTTTTTCTTGTTTTTTTTTGTTCTTGGTTTTTCTTTGTTCTTGGTTTTTCTTTTTCGTGTTCTTGCTCATTTGTCTACATATGATTAAGAGCTTTGTACGAAATAGGATCGAATTAAACTTAAAAGCCTTCTATAACCTATAGTAGTATGCAAATTTGTTTTGGGTGAAACCCAATGAAAGAATTGGTTATGTTTTTCATTAAAACTATACGTTTTGATCTATGTAATTTATTTTAAAATATTACCTGGTATGGCAAAAGTTTTGCAACACATTTTGCTTTACATGTATCTCGACTTGAGAAACTGATATAATCGTGATTCTTTTTGAAAAGATGCGCCGTGAAAAACTCTACAAAAACTGGATAAAAAAATCCTTATTAACTGGTTCTGATAGTTTTCCCAAATTCAATATGACCCAGGGATGGGCGAGTCCGAGTCAAAACTCGGACTCGAGTCACATTTTTTTAATGACTCGGACTCGGAAATTGAAGGATGTTGACTCGACTGTGTGACTCGAATCATCCACTCAAAAAAGTTTTCATTTTTTCTTATACAAAAAATCACAATTTATAAAACTAAATTTTCTATGATTCACAACCTTTATTCTAATTGAATGTACCTCATCAGAACGTTTTTTTCAAAAGCTTTTTTCCACTTATTTATATGGTCGTAAATCTTAGTCTACAGATATTACAGAATGCATATATATGTACTCTGTTCTTCTGTTTTGTTTTGGATTATGTGTGAAGAGAAATCAGACATTAATATATGAGTAAGCAATTTTTTAAAAACACCAAAAACTTGAGCTTTGATTACCAAAATTGTCTGAACTGCGGTATGATCATTACAAAATTAGTGTTTTGATCATCAAATTTACCATAAATGAAAACAAGAATAAGAAATAGAAAAAATATTTACAGCTGTTTACACAATTTATTTTCCACGAAGTTTCCTTCGTTGATGGTTTTCAATTTTAATTGGTTGTTTTTACAAAAAAAATAAAATTTCCGCTTTGGAAGATTTACTTTCGTCGATTACATAAAAGTATATTCCATTTATCCGTTTTTTGGTATCGCATTAACTTTCTGCTGATTAGTTGAATGAAGTGGTATAAGTATTTGAAGAAGAATGCCTGGCATATTTTGTTCAGAAAATGACCTATTCTCTGATTTAACACTATCTCAAGATGAATAAGTTCAAATAAAACTTTTCTTTTGTGTTGTGTGGTAGATACATTGATCGACTAGCTTCTATGGTAGTTACGACTCCGACTTATCACGGTCTCTTGGTATAGAAAGTTGTTATACTCCACCCTCGTTCTCAAGATCAAATGAGATTAGAAAAATTGAATTTCATTTATTTGAACATCTTGTTCCATTTTAATTAACTTATATCTTGACGAACTTGACAATAAAAACATTGATTTTTTTTGTTGATCATTTTGCAGTTAGACAATTTTGCAATCAAAACACACTTTCTTCTGTAATTTAAATATAAATGGTACAATTTTCCTAATAAACAGATGGAAGTTTAGGCTCTGCTCATGAAAATGATGTTTTTGTGATTTTGGTGTGGAATTCTATCAAAAAGAAGAGTCCATTTTGATATTCATTCGTGTTGATAAATCTATAGTAGTTATACAATTCTATTTTGTGTAGGACTATTCTATTTTTTTGCGCATAAAAACCACCAACTAGACATGTCCTGAAAAACTCATTCTTAACGTTCTTTAGCGAAATAAACAGAAAACGAAAAAAATGGCAAAATTAGCTTAACTCGACTCGACTTGGAAATCTCGATGACTCGACTTGACTCGACTCGAAACCATTTCGAAATGACTCGGACTCGACTCGACTCAAAAAAAGGCTTGACTCGCCCATCCCTGGAACACATTTTACACAAGTAGAGATTTATCCGACGGTATCAATGACTATCTCTACTTTCATTCATTCATGACACTCAAAATTAGAACCGAAGGGTGTGGGTGTGGGTGTGGGTGTGGGTATGGGTGTGGGTGTGGATGGGGGTAGGGGTGGGGGTGGGGGTATGGATCTTCTCTTCAACAAAAACCCACACCTACACCCACACCCACACCCACACCCACAC